CGCTGCTGGCCTCCGCCAGGCGGCAGACCCCGGGAGCGGCGCCCAGGCTGATAAGGCAGATTCTCTACAGGTGTTTTCGAACACCGTGTGAGTCAGAAATGCCGATTAGACGGTTTATCCGTATGGTCCGGCAGGGAGCCGAGTGTCTCTAAATGGCGTTTGGGTTTTCCTCTCGGTGGCGTCGAGCACCCCGGTGTCAGCTGCGAGGGGAATGCCCTTACTATTTCTGTCTCTGTCCTTCAGATTCCCTGTCTGTGCAGCGGTGCCTCGTGTTTACTGTGCCGATGTTGTCCCAACAGCAAGAATTCAACAGTGACGCGTCTTATCTATGCCTTCCTCCTCCTCCTCAGTACTGTTCTTGCCTGCATTATGCTGGCACCAGGGATGGAAGAGCAGCTGAAAAAGGTATGGAAGGAAAACCTCCTTCTAACTGTTAGCAAAACCATTACTTGTGCCAGTGACTATTGACTCTCTTCATTTGGAATGGTTTACATGAGGCACAAACACCTAAATGTGCCATGCCCCCTGAGTTAAGAGACTGTGTACTGCACAGCTTCTAGCTGAAATAGCAAATTTCAGTGAATGTACACTTTTAACTACATGCCTGGTCTCTGAAACTTGACCAGACCTGGAGATTGCCAGTCATTACCAGAGGCCTGCTGCTTTGGTATCTTATTTTTCCTGCATGCTTTTAGTGATGACATGGGGAAAGAAAGATGATAATAAGGTCTGTGCAGGCACGTGGTCTTTTGTTATCAGATTTCCCAGAAGACAACTGACTGAAAGCCTTAGCTGTTAGAGAGCTTAGAGTGTCATTGCAAATGCAGATGTACATTCACAACTAAATGTGTCTTTACTCAGATACCTGGATTTTGTGAGGAGGGGCTTCATACCCGGATACCTCATATGGATGGCTTTGTCAGCTGTGATGTGTTTGTTGGATACAGAGCTGTCTATCGAATCAGCTTTGCCATGGCAATGTTCTTCTTTCTCTTCTCTCTGCTCATGATAGCAGTAAAAACAAGTAATGATCCAAGAGCCTCGATACACAACGGGTACGTGTGTGAGCCAGCTGTCTGGTCTTCCAACTTGTTTTCTCTCTCAAGTTTCTCTGCTGAACACAGTGGGAAATTGTGTGTGCGTTGACAGCCTTGAGATTCTTTTGAACTGAATACAGAGTAACAGTTCAGTCTCCTAAGAAGCTTCCTACCTATGGCACATGTTCAGTGTACTGATAATGCTTCAAGATTGGATGACGAGAAGGGCAGTGCTCTGGGCACCCCTCTGTGTTTCCACAGAGATGCTAGATTCCAGCTAGGTTTTATCACCATCCTTGCGCTGACTCTACCGCTCGCTGGGTCATTCACTGACTCGGTAAGCCAGCGGAAACTGATTTCTGATTGGTTTAACTGGGTTGGTTCTGGGCTAGGTGACTGAATTATCATAGAGTCATTTAATTTGAAAGGGACCTTTGGAGATCGTATGATCCAGCCCACTGGTTAGAGCAGGACCAACGTGAAGCAGGTTATTTGGGGTCTTGTCTAGTTGAGTTTTGAATGTCTCAAAAGGATGGGGATGCTTTGACCTCTCTGGGCAACCTGTGCAATCTTTTGCAGTATCTAACTGTAGTTCCTCAGTTTGCAGCTTGCATATGTTGTCTCTTGTCCTGCCACTGTATGCCTGCAAGAGTCTGGTTTTGTCTTCTTTACACCTTTCTTCTAGGCAGCTGAAAACAGCAATTAAATCTCCCTTTTCTCTTCTGCAAGCTGAAGAGCGCAGAGTTAGCCTTCCTCCCCACCAGGATGAGCGGCGGACTCACATTCCGTTCGCTGGAGCAGGCGCTGCTCTCTCAGCAAAGCTTTCTAGCCAGTTGGCCCCCGTCTGTCCTGTTGCACATGGGTTTTTTTCTGTCCCAGCTGCAACACTCTACCTTGGTTGAACTTTGAGGTTTCTGTCAGTCCATGTCTCCAACGTATTGATCCTCTCCCCCAATTTGGTGAACATCTTTATCTGTAATCCCACTGAACACAACTTTTTTTCTTTAAATTTCTGTTAGACACTCATCTCTGAACAGCAAGTTGCTTGCAGATCATGTAAAATTTGACCATTGTGTGCAGAGTAAGACCAATATTTTCAACTTTTATCTTCTTTTCAAGGTTCTGGTTCTTCAAAATAGCTGCCATTGTGGCTATCATGGTTGGAGCATTTTACATTCCTGAAGGGCCTTTCACAAGAGGTACAGTTAATACTTCATCGTGGAATTCTGTTTAAGAAACTGAAACCTTTTCACAGACTTAGCCAGGCTACAGTTGTGATAGTGGAAGTTACCTTTTAGAAGACACTGATTCTCTCCTATTTCTTTAGAGTAACTTGGTTCATCTGGTGTTTTGGAGCCCAAGTGAGCGCTAAGCAACCTCAAGTGCAGAGGTGTTGGGTATTAATAATTGAGTACTCCATGACATCGTCACTACTAGGCTGAGTCTGCTGACACTGTTTAGACTAGAGACAGCTCAGAACACTGACAAGCGCTAAATACTTTACCCTGGACTCTGAAAAATCTGTGCAAGAAACTTTTACTGTTTGGCTACATCACAGGAATTTGAAAGGGCTTTTGATCCTCAGAGTGATGGTGCACAAAGATGTCTTGTGTTAGATCTTGCATTCATTCTGAAAACATGTTGGGCTAAACCCTCCCATGCTCAGCTTGACTGGCATAGGCTGCACCCTTGAATAGCTGGGACTCCTTGCATGCTTCTGCAGGATGGAGGCCGAAGTGATTAACAGTATCTGCATTTCTAAATATAGTTGTATAGTTTCAGATTTTTTTCACTATTTGTCTGCAGTATAATTAGCTTTTTTTAAAAAAACCTGGGGCAGCATGCAAATGATGAAAGGTAATGCTGTTTTTCTTGCTCCCTTTTCTAGCTTGGTTCGTTATTGGCATTTGTGGAGCCTTCTGCTTCATTCTAATCCAGTTGGTGCTTCTAGTGGACTTTGCTCACTCCTGGAATGAGAGCTGGGTTGACAGAATGGAGGAGGGAAATTCTAAATGTTGGTATGCAGGTAGGAATCTTAACCTGTAAAGGCTTTGTTTCTCCTGGCCAGTACTCCGCAGAGTATCACTTACTCATTCGCAAACTTACCTAGTATTTCACTCCACAGTCTCCTTGAGTCGCTACTGTAAACATTTGTCATTAAAAGCTGCAGTGTTGCCTTTTTCTCATTAAATAAAATGCAAAATATTTTAGGCTTGTGATCAGCAGGCTGACAGTCATAGTGAACAACACTTGGCTAGTTTTCAGTGCGAGTGCAGAGCCGGTAGCCTGGATCTCTTCAATTCTAAATTTGCTTTGTCACCTCCCCTACCGAGATCCTCGGGAAGTCGGGTCTGTCAGGACAGTGGCTGCAGTACCACACACAGCATGCCTCAGCACATGCTCCCGAGCTGACCGCTAAATTACAAAGTGCTAATTGTGTGGTTCTTTGCTCGCAGCTATGAATGCTGCAACAGCGTGTTGTAGCTCCTTATAAAGAAGAGCAGAACAAAATGAAAATGGGTGGCCTCTAGCATAGAAGGGGGAATTCAGGGCTTGTAAATAGCCCATGAGAAGTGTGCAAAAAGCATTCTCGTTTTGCCGCTGTGGCTGGACATCAGTTGAACCAATTAAACTGCTGCTGAAAGGCAGGTCTTATTCCCCTGATGGCAGCATTGGCTTTCCTCTGAGCTATACTGCTTAGTGAGCCAGCCATACCAAATAAAAATGCATTCTGTGAGTCTAGTTTTCTGAACCAGACTTCCAAGTGAGGAAGTGGGGCTGTCTCATTGTAGCTGGTCATTGAATCACCTTAGATGTACTGTTAAACTACATGCGTATGGTAACTGTTAATTTTTTTTCCCCCTCCAGCTCTGCTGTCCTGTACAAGCCTGTTCTATGCCTTGTCGCTGGTTTTTGTTGTGCTCTTCTCTGTTTTCTACACGAAGCCTGATGAATGCACCGAGAACAAGTTCTTCATAGGCATTAATACGATCCTGTGCATTGCTGTCTCCGTTGTTTCTGTCCTTCCAAAAGTTCAGGTATTATTTTTCTCTGCTGTTTTCTTCTGACATACAAAGCAGGGAAGTAAGAAAGATGTGGTACCGATTCAGTCAGACGTAAGAACTCTAAAATTTGGCTGTGCTAGCTATGCTAGCTGGGAACATTTAAAAAAAATCTTGCTCTGAAACCAATGCACTATGTAGTGACATATTTCCTGATAGGCTTTTTTTGGCTGACATTATTTTGGACTTTGTTTACATGTGGGGGACTGCTGGCACGGTTTTAGTGGTGAAGGTTCTGGCAGAACAGAGAAAGCTGTTATGGAAAAGCAAAATAAGCTGGGAATGCATGGGTGTGTTTAATATGAGAGGGAGCTTTCATGTTACTTGATTCTGAACTGGTATTGCTCATGCTAGATTCATATCTACAAAACTGTTAAGCGAGTTGGAATTAACTCAGTAAGAACCCGTAACTGAATCTTGGGTGTAGAAAAACTGGATTTGGTTTGCTTATTCCTTCCCTGTTTGAGTTGCTTACCGCATAAATTGTATTCCACAGGAGTTTCTTCTGGTCTTTGAAAGACAGAACAAAGCCCAATGCATTTCTAAAAAAATAACAGTTTTTCGTGCTAATAATTGTTGAATCAGTAGGGTAAAACTGTCCAACTGTAGGTGAAACTTGCTGTTTTGACCTTGGCTTGCTGTTTTGTCTTTGAACAGGAACATCAGCCTCACTCTGGCCTCCTCCAGTCCTCTGTTATCACGCTCTACACCATGTATCTCACTTGGTCAGCCATGTCCAATGAGCCTGGTAAGCAACAGGCTGTCTTGACTAACGTATTTGGGTGTGAAAGCAGCAGCTGTTGATGGGGCTTGTAGTTATTACAGATCGCTGTGTGGGGACTGCTGATCTGTCTAGATAAAATCTGGTGAGGCAGTAAAGCTGACTTTACTGAAACCAGCGCCTTGCCTCTTTCCAGAACTAAACTGGGGTATTTGTGAGGGGAAGGAGAACAGTGTCAGGGCATTCTGATTTTATGTATTTATTTCACCCTTGCCTAGCTTACAGGAAGGAAAAATATTCCATGCCATTGCTGCCTCTGGGGAATCGAAGAGATTGGCAGATAAAGGGAATGGAAAACTGCAAGCTTACCTGTCATCTTTTCTTAGCTAAATGTTGGCAAAGCTCATCTCTTTAATCTGCCTTGAAATTCCTTTCAGAACGAAGCTGTAACCCAAGTTTGCTGAACATCATTACCCAGATAGCGACGCCCACAGTTGTTCCGGCAAACACCACTGTTGTACCTGCTACTCCAGCTCCGCCCAAGTCCCTGCAGTGGTGGGACGCCCAGAGCGTTGTTGGATTAGTTATCTTTGTCCTTTGCCTCTTATATTCCAGGTAGGATCTGCACTGCTATCAAATGATAACCAATTGGGATTTGTATGCCTTTTTTTCTTTGGATCTGGGTCTACTGAAAAATTTACCTGCATTTATTCATACCCAGCTGCCATTTCTGGATTCTGTTTTGTGAATGAGGATAGGCTTTATTAGCCCAGTTCAGAGAACGACAAAATGTGTTACAAGACCTGGACTAGGAACAGTGTTTAATGAGGCTAACAAAAGCTCAGAGGAAAACAGATCTCTTTCAGGAGGTTCATTGTGTTTCCAGATGGATTTAAAAAATGTTATTTGCTAGTCCCAGACGTTCATTGTGGTCTGTTGCTTTATTGGCCACCATAGCTAACTGACAAAGGAGTTTTTAACCATGTCTATCTTTATGTTACACTGCAGCATTCGCTCTTCAAGTAACAGCCAGGTGAACAAGCTGACCCTGTCTGGCAGTGACACTGCCATGCTGGAGGAGACTCTGGGAGCAGGCAGCGGGGCTGCAGAGGAAGGAGAAGTGCGCCGTGTCGTGGATAATGAGAAGGACGGCGTTCAGTACAGCTACACCTTCTTTCACTTCATGCTCTTTCTTGCCTCTCTTTACATCATGATGACACTCACCAACTGGTACAGGTAAGAGCAAGACAGAAAGTGATGGGTTGTATGTGCCAGCCAGTGTTTCTAGGTGGATAGGAGACTCCTGCCCTATAGGCTAGGTCTGCCAAGCTGGTTAAGGTGCTGTCCCGGTGCCAGCTGCACTGGAGTTGTGCCTTCTCAATTTTGTGTTGCTGAACAAGATGTAAAAGACCTGTACAAAAAGACAAGGTCAGCAGCCGTAGCCCTAGCAGACTGCTTCACAGCTGCAAGGCCAGAAAGCGTGGTTACCATCCTTCACAGGCAAGCAGCAGGAGGGATACACAGGGAACTGGCTTGAGGTGGTCTCCTGGGAAGTTTGTCAGAGGCCAGCCTAATGGTACTGGCTCTTCACCCTGGGAGAGATGTGCAGGGACACCATGCATGCCACTGAAACAGAGAGATGACTTCCTAGATCTGTTGGGAGCACTCAGACATGTCCTCTACTGCTGTATAACCCCTCGCCCCAGGACTGCCATAGTGTATAAATTAGCAAACACGCTAGCAGAGCAGCAGCCAGCAGGAGTCTATTGCATAGCTCACTCAAATACTTCCTTTAAGAGTAGTGCATCAATGTATGCAGGCAGGCTGATTTTGAAAACTGGGTACCAAGAACGACAGGCCTGTGAAGGAGCCACAGGAAACTGCTGGTTTGTTTCTCACTGTGCTCCCACAAAGGCTTTTGCATTGGAGTCTCCCAAATGATTGTCAGAACCTCAGATTCATGAGAGGTAGCAAGGAATAGCGGAAGGTGCCTTCAGTATCTGTTAATTGACTTCTTTACCTTTTAGCCCTGATGCGGATTTTAAGACAATGACAAGCAAGTGGCCAGCCGTGTGGGTGAAGATAACCTCCAGCTGGGTTTGTCTCCTCCTCTATCTCTGGACCCTCGTGGCTCCTCTTGTCCTTACTAATCGGGCCTTCAGTTAACTTGCTGCCCCTGAGCTTACAGAAGTGGGGAACTTTTTGCTGAAAGCCAAAACGCTCATGTATTGCTTTAGTTACACTATGTTACTGGGTTTTATATCGATATTAATTTCCTGTGCACCTGCATGTTCTGTATTGCATAAAGCTTAATGCAGGACCAAAGTTGTTACCAGTTATCTTTCTATTTTAACCTTCAGTCATGGTTATCTTATTATTGTATTTTTAAAATTCACTACAGCTCTGCTGTCAAAGCACAAAAGAAAATACCTGTTCTGTCCAATAGCCACAACCTTTCTATTGAATAGAAGTAACATTTAGCTAAATATGAACTAATATATTTTAAAGAACAATTATATTCAGCATAATGCACTAGTATGTTAACGCTTCAGCTCCTGGAAGTGTAAGCTGTGCTGCTTGATTTTACATTCCACTGCAAAGTTTACTTAAAGCAAAAGTTTATTTAAATTCTACTTGCCTTCCTGCGTTGTGGCAAAACTCCCCTTATCCCTCACCAAAAGAACAGAACTCTGAGGTTGTAAAACTGGTTAACTCCAATTCTGTTCAAGAACAGACTTGCTCTTTCTAAGAAGCAACTTCTATGGTAACTTTTTTAGTATGTTTGCCAAATATTGAGTGGTAAGTGTATGACTAGCTTAAACAACTTTATGGTGAAAAAAGAGCTTCTAATTGATTTCACTTGTCTACTATGCTTACAAAAATAATGTACGTGAAATGATTATTATTGGCACTAAGGCATTTGCACTGTAAACTCATTTGAATAAAGCAGACTAACTACTGAAACTGCCCCAGCTCTGTTGAAGTGTTAAGAAGCAGCAGTTACTCTCCCCTGCAAAATACTGCATACAGTGATTAAAATGCTAATTAGCTGCTGCAGCATCCTGCTGGATGTGACTGGATGTTTCCTCCATGCAGCAAACAGTAAGTCATAACATATTTCTTTTGAAACAGCCAGCATCTTCCCTGTAATTCTCTGAATGTTAAATCCTGTTCCTTGAAGTTGCTCAGGTACAGTTCAAGTAAAATTTAGTTCTGCAGGAGGAAGCAACACCTTTTTCTAACGTAATGCAGTGGCGATTATGCTTAGTTGTAACTGTGTGTTTAGCACGGAACTAGTGACTTTTACGACAAAATACCCCAACATGACACAAGGCAAGCATTTAAAATATCAAATTAGCAGCTGTTACAATGTGTTTAATCACCTAGTCATGCATCATAAAATTACACATTTTGACCACTCCCTTTTATAAAATGCAATATAAAAATAAATTTTGTCAAAAGAAGATGTACACTTAACCACCCAACACCTCTAGGCCCACATACAACAGAAGGCAAAATTATTAGTTTGAATAACACTATGATTAACTCATGCCAAAATGAGACTTAACAGAACGATACTTCACCCAGTTCCTGAAAATACCTCAGGGTTTGTAACACCCATTTGCAAGAGTATAAATTCAAGTACTTCTATGTACAGGATGCAGCTACCTTTTGTCCCACTGAATGCCAAAAGCCATGGCTGCCCAATGCAGTTCAAGTATCTTTATTAAGTGTTGGATTTGGCAGGGATGGCTTATGTACTGGGCAAGGCATATAACCTCTGGAAACAACGTTATTTAAAGTGGGAAAAAAAAGAACAGATCAGTTTTAGTGCTGTGAAAAAAAAAAAAAAAAACCCCACAAACCTGTAAGCTTTTCCTATCTTAACTTGCAGATAAGGAGACTCTTATGCTTAAAACAAGTGTTTATTTTCCAGATGCTGACATGAGAAAATTTGGGAACAAATGAAGTTCTTTGCTAGTAAGTGCTAAATCTCAAAGAGCCTTCTCAGCTCAGTAGTCAGGCACATATCAGACAGAGCTGTGCTTTCTATAAGCCAAGCATGGGTTACAAACCTAAAAAGGGTTAGACATACAGCTCAGTAACTTTGCAACGCTGTCTGTCTGAGTTCTAAAGCCAAGAAAGAGTAAATTAGAAGTAACAGATGCTCGACAAAGGTAAGCCTGGCTTAGTTCAAGCATCCTGACATCAACTGCCCAGCAGCCAGCTTTAAGAAAAGAGTTCTGGAGGTGTAAGACAGGCCATTTTTCAGCAGCCTTATCTATTATGTTTAAATCATATGCTTATTCTTAGTCTCTGTGAGCTGAGGAGAAAAGGGGATAGAAATGGATCTAGTTTGCCTACTATTTAAGGCATGCAAGAGAATGTAAAAGCCTGAAAAAGGGTTTGGTTTCTGTAGAGGTTCCTCTGCCTTCTGCTGGCCACCACTAGGTTGTTTTTTTTCTTTTTGAAGGATGCTAAAGTGAATTTTGAATATTCAGCCTCCCTCTCTAGTAGTTACATAAGGGGCTCAAAGTAGCTGTTCTTATAGGTTAACTGTCAAAATACCACTTCAACCCCTGCAGCACAATTAAGGAAAGAGTATCAAATACCAGTCATGCCTTCACCTCTAGGAAAAATGGTCCTTTTTTTTTTTTTTTTTTAATTGTACATTGTGGCTGGAAGTAAGAGGTACTAAAACAACATAAACGCCACTCTCCCTGTTCTGGCAGTTACAGTGTGAGCAGCCACTTACTTTTCTAAGTCCTGGTGCTGTGTGCTACTGTCTTGCTAGCTGGCACAAAGAACTGAATTAAATCTCTGCAAAATATGCAGCACGTTCTGGTCAGAAATGAGGAGTGGCTAGCAGTACTCTTCTACCTTATTTTAAGTAGATGAAAATGGTTGGGGTTTTTTTCCCCCTTCAAACTTAAGGTCAAAGCTGTAAGTCAATTCTTACTGCTCTTTGACGAAGGTAGGAAAGGTAGGAAAAATCAGGTGCTTTCAGTGAGGAAAGTTACTCTTTTCCCACCTTTAATCTAAAACAGTTCAAGTCATGAGTTCCCTGCTCCCACAAATTCTGAACTGCCACCCAGAAAAAAGCTTCATGGTTTACCCCTTTTCAAAACACAGTCTTCTTTTATAATGCTTGGATGACACGTATGGCATTTGCTACCCCCTAGTTCCAGGATGAGGTCTGCTGCCAGATCAGGAAGTCATTACAGTGGTAGAGGAGTCTCTTTTTGGCAGTGCAGTCAGGCTGTAGGGGGACTGAGAGGAAGACAGACATTCAAAACAGAGTTTGGCACTTTGAAAAATGAACGTCTGAAATCCTCAAGATGCTGTAGTTTTATATGTACAGAAACGTAACTGGTACCTATAATCACACTTGGCACTAAGTAAGGATTTTAGGCAGAGAAAGTGCTCTAGAGATGAGTCTTCAATTAGAAGAGATGTTCTTTTTCACCAAATAAATAGTGAAATATTTCACCTTGAAGTTAACTGGGTGTGCTTTCCTGGACCTAGTGAGGTTTCCCACCTCCACACTATTATAGTGCAGAAAAACATGTGCAAAGAGTGTGGTGAGAGTTAAGTTCTAATTCAAGACCATTAAACAGATTGAACCTGGGGAGTGGGAACAGCTTATTTAGACATAGGTATCTTACCCTGATTTGACATCGGAGTCTTAGTTCTGTCTCTAGACAAAGACCTAGAAGCACAGGCATACAAGCTACAGGTAAATATTACAGAGATGATTAAACTAACTTCATACAGGAACATGACAACCAAAGACAAAGTTGAAAACAAAGTTGTAACATTTCACAAAAGAGCTGACAAGCACAGCGAACAAAATGCTACAATACCAGGAAATTTAAGAATGTGCTTTCAAATAGCTTGTCTGCATTTGGTTTCACAGACTTAAACTCAAATTCTGCCCAAAGTAACAAGCTAAAGAAGCACCTTGCTGTCTTACATGAAGTATTGCCTTCTATTCATCATATGCCAGCTGCTACAAAACCGCCTCACAAATTCTGTGTATGAATTACTTACCCAATACCTCATCACAACCAGCTGAAGAAAAGAACAACTGACAATGTGGGAAGGTGGATGACACAGCTTTTTCTTATTTGGTCCTGAACCTCGTTATTTGAAGCTGTTACCTAATCAAAAGCCTCAGTACTTGATCTGAAAAACTTCTGTTTTCTGAAAATGAAGATTGCATCTGTTTATAAGCCTTGGCATAGATGTTGTAGTAGTTAATCCACCAGTTATAGTTCTTCCTACCATGAGGAAGTTTCAGAGATGATCTCCATACTGATACTCATGGATAAGAATGTTTGCTCTGTATTAATTTGAGACAAATATTCATTGAGATATTTCAGAAATGCCCACTCACAATCTGATCCAAGTGATGGAGGACAGGCCCAGTTAGACTTAAGTTTTTAAGCAATCTTCACAGACAGAACTACATTTTTCAGGGTTCAAAAGCAATTTTCTTGTCTTGGATTACTAGTGTTTGCAGAAAGGGAAGGGAACGAATGGTCACAAAGCGAGTAAATCAGTTGTCACTTTTCATCTGTGTGGGGAGGGGATAAGAAACTATCAAGCTTACCATCCTGCAAGATTTTTTTTTTTCTTTATCATTAGAAAGAATAGGCCCGTTTGCATCATTCACATAGAGGTTGATGAGCCTCAAGTATTCTACATAACTTGTGCTCTTTGCCTTTATCCTCCCCGAACTCTGCCCTGCCCCCATTGTGCCCTCTTCAGCTTCCTTTGGTTCTACAGTGTAAAGTGCCTCAGCGGTCTGTTCCTAAACTGCAGGTTTAGGAGTAAGGCAGAGTTCACGACTTCACCTATCAGAACAGATCTTAACTGTGCTGGAAAACTTCCCTTCACTGGTTTGTTAGTAACAGTAATAGAGCTGGGGTTTCATGCCTCGCAAAGAATCATCACACTGCTTTTCATCAGCATCCCCACTCACTAGCATGTCATGGGGAGAGCTGTCACATGGGAGAACCAGCTGTGAGAAATCGTGCAGAAAGTCCTCTTCAGAGGCTAGCAGCAGCTCATTCCATGCGGAGATGTCCAGCTTCCCTGAAGTACCACCGTACTCTTCAGGAAGGATCACTGGAGGAATGTTTTGATGAAGGGAATTCAGATCACAGCCATGAAGAAAAAACTGAAGAAGAAAGCAGGAGAGAGCTTTAATAGTGCACATCAAACACTTTACAGCAAATTACAAGCTTATTTTGAGCTAAAGGGCAAATT